TCTGAAGAATTTCACAAGCATATTTTTGCCGACTTAGGTGAATTCTATCTTCACCTTGATTAACCTCCACACCCAAAAAGTAACTCATCTCCCCCATGTCTGACATTTCAAATTCAGACTTCATCGAGGTCTTGAATTTCTCAATTAATGCAAGTGTGGTTCCTGTTATAATCAAGTCATCTACATAAATTGAAACAATTAGAAAATCATCATTCTCCTTGACCGACTTAACAAATAGTGTTGGTTCATAAGGACATTTCTTGAACCCTTCCTTAAGAAAGTAGTTTTCTATCCTCCCGTACCAGGCCTTCGGAGCCTGCTTCAAACCGTATAGGGCCTTTCTTAATCCATAATACATTTTTCTCCTTACCCTGCACTTCAAAACCTTGGGGCTGCTCTACAAAGACAGTTTCTTCTAGCATGCCATACAAAAAAGCATTTTTAACGTCTAACTGATGAATTTTCATACCTCTTTGTGCAGCAAAAGCAAAGATGGTTCTGATTGTATCCCACCGAGCCACCGGAGTAAAGACCTCCGAGTAGTCTAACCCTTGTCTTTGAGCGTATCCCTTCACTATGAGTCGAGCCTTATGCTTATCAATATTTCCATCCTTGTCTAACTTGGTCTTGAACACCCACTTTACTCCGATTGTTGTTGCACCCTGGGGTAAATCACAAAGTTCCCAGGTGTTATTCCTCTCGATCGCCTCAATTTCAAGCTTCATAGCATGTCTCCAACACTCCTCTTGCGTTGCATCATGGTAATTTGTAGGCTCCGATAAAGAAGAGAACATGGCGACATTCTCCTCCTGGTCTTCATCACTAAAAACCCCCTCTCCACTGACGTAATCGTGCATCCAAGCAGGTGTTCTTGTTTGCCTTCTTCCCCTCTCATTGGTTGTAGCTGTAACCGGATTCACATCTGAAGGCCCACTTTCAGTCCCACTTGATGGACCATCCAAATTGCCAGGCCCATCAGAATTGTGAGGCCCAGTTGAGTCATTGAATGACTCGTTTGTAACGTCAAATGAACCTGCCCCATCTTCATTATTATCTTCCCATTCTAAATCTGAAACATTAATTCCAGATTCTTGAGACCAGTTCCACGTGGCTTCTTCTTCGAATACAACATCCTTGCTAACAATAATCTTATTGGTAGTTGGATCATAGAGTCTATATGCCTTGGCTTCTTCACTAACCCCAAATAGAACACATTTAAAGCTTCTATCATCCAACTTTAATCTTTTTTCTTTAGGCACATGAACATGAGCAATACAACCGAATACCCTAAAATAACTTACAGAGGGTTTTCGATTGCTCCACTTTTCTTCAGGCATGCTATTTTTGAGAGCTGCAGTAGGACTTCGGTTAAGGACATGTATACACCAGTTGGTGGCTTCCGGCCAAAATATCTTCGGAACCTTTCTAGCACTCATCACACTTCGGACCATATTCATCATGGTTCGGTTCTTCCTCTCAGCCACACAATTTTGGTGTGGCGTATAGCTTATGGTAAGCTGTCGTTTTATCCCATTGTTTTCACAAAATAGCTTAAACTCCCTGGAATTAAACTTCCCTCCTCTATCGGTTCTCAAACACTTGATCACCGTTCCTGCTTCTCTCTCAACCAAAGCTTTAAACTTCTTAAAAGTTTCTAAAGCTTGTGACTTTTCTGTAAGAAAATAACTCCAACATTTCATTGAGAAATCATCAATGAAAATAATAATGTACCTCTTTAGACTACTCGACTGGGGGTGATAGGTCCACAAATGTCGGAATGAACGAGCTGTAATCGTTGGGTTGCCCTCCACGAACATGCTTTTGGAAATGGCTCTCTTGTTTGCTTTCCCACCAAGCAATCTGCACAAGTACCCACTTCAGTATTGATAGCTGGCAGCCCCTTCACCAATTCTTTGTCATGTAGCACCTTTAAACTCCTACTGTTGATGTGTCCAAACCTTTGATGCCAAAGAAGAGTAACATCACCAGTTTATGCTTTGTGACACTCCTCATTACAACTTGGTTTAGCTTTGATCATGAACATCCTATTTGAGCTCATTTGGATGCGTATGATCAGGCCTCTTTTTGGATTAAACATGTTGCAAGTTCCTTTCTTTATTAATATCTCCACCCCTTTCTTGAACTTGACCGACGCTGATTAAATTATTCTTGAGATCGGGAACGAAGTACACATCGGTTAACGTATGAACGATCCCTTCAATATCTAGACGTACACTTCCTTTTCCCAAAACAGCCATATGTACATTATTTCCAAGACACACGTTATTACGGTAGGTATCATCCAATGAACAAAACCATTTCTTCTCTCCCATCATGTGATTCAAGCAACCCGAATCCAAAAACCAAACACACTGTTTTGTTGAACCGCCATCATCTGCTTGAGCCATCAACACCATTTTCTCCATATCGTCATGCTCGACACCGCCATCATCTGCTTGAGCCATCAACACCAGTTTCTCCGTATCGTCATGCTCGACACCGCTATCATCTGCTTGAGCCATCAACACCATTTCCTCCGTATCGTCATGCTCGACATAGTTAGCATCATTCTCCCAATCTGGACACGCACTTTGAAAGTGTCCAAGTTTGTGACATTTGTAACATTCGATAGTACTCTTGTCGAAGGAAGATCTGCCACGTCCTCTAYCTCTGCTTGAACCACCACGTCCCCTTCCCCGACCTCGAGAGGGTGAACTAGTCGTTATCTTCAGGCCTGCTCATCTTCTTGTTGCCCGATCATGCACTGCTCATGAACCAGTAGGCTACCGTGTAGTTCATCAATCGTCATAGTGTGGAGATTGTTTGATTCTTCAATCGAACAAACAACGTAATTGAACGTTGGGCTCAAAGATCGTAGTATTTTGGCAACAACCGAACCTGAGGTCAAAGAGTCACCATTTGCCTTCATCTTGTTCACGATCATCAGGGTTCAGGCAAGGTAAGCGTCGACCTTTTCACCGTCTTTCATTGAGAGAAGTTCATACTCTCTTCTCAAAGCCTGCAGTTGAGCTCTCTTCACCTTTGTAGAGCCCTCATACTTTTGTCTCATGGAGTCCCAGATGCCCTTTGAAGAGCTCTTATCCAAGATAGTTTCCAAGATTTTCCTTTCAATTGCTTGGAACAGATAGTTCTTCACTTTCAAGTCCTTCAACTTGGCTTCAGCCAAAGCCTTCCTCTGTACTTCACTTGGATTGGCCGTTTGTGTGGGAACGCCATCTTCCACCAGGTTCCACATCTCCTTACTCCTTAGGAAATTCTTCATTAGCAAAGCCCAATGATCAAAATGACCATCGAACTTTGGAATTGATGGTTGCACAAACTTATCAGAGTTCTCCATATCCTCCTCTCTTCCTCACATTTTGACAGTAAAGAGCTCTTCCACCGAGCTCTGATACCAAATGTTATGGTATCACACACACTCAATTGTATAGTAAACACTCAGTATTGGTGCTCAAAAACTTTTTTGCATCTTATTCATGCTACCAATTGGCTTCTTAAATACACTACAGRAAATAACAAACTAAAACGTTGAAAAACAACGAACTCCTTATTCTATTGGAAGGCTGGAAACATTCAAAAAAACAAAACAACCCCCCCCCCCCCCCCCCGGCAAAGCAGGGACTTATTCAAACATGACCCACGACTAACAAAAAACCCAACAACGAGAACACAAGAACAACCTATTAACCTCATATTGTGATAACAATAAAAATTAAAAGATCTTTTAAATTAAAATTGAAATTTAAAACGATTCAAAAAAAATTGAGAGTCAAAAGGGTAATATTAGAAATCAAAATGATAAAATTTTAAACACGATCATACTAACCCGATTATCCTGGAAATTGAAGTTATCCACTTATTTCAACATTTATCATTTATTCAAACCAAGAAGAAGGTATCGATTAAGAAGGTATCGAAAGGATTTCAAGGAGAAATCAAAGATCAAGAAGCCGTAAAGTTTGGATGCAGGAATCGAACAACAAAAAGAAGCTGTAAGGTTTGCATGCAGGAATCGGACAACAAGAAGTCGTAGAACACAGTTTATTCAAGGTATATGTTACTATTGCTCGATTTGAACATGCTTTCATTCGATTAGGAATAGAGAATCACACATTTATCACAATGATTATGGGCGAAATCAACTAAAAGATTTGGTGTGATATGAATGTAATAATCATGTGATGTCACTATTATAACATCACTTGATCATAGTCGCACTCGATTTGATCATGGTTTCGATCAGTTAGGGTTAGACAATCACACATTTATCACGCCGATTACAGATGAAATCGACTAAAAGATTTGGTATGATAATCATGTTATATCATTATTATAGCATCACCTGCTCATAGTCGCACTCGATTTGATCATGGTTTAGATCGGTTAGGGTTAGACAATCACACATTTATCACAACGATTACGGACGAAATCGACTAAACGATTTGATGTAATATAGGTATGATAATCATGTGATATCACTATTATAACATCATTTGCTCATAATCGCACTCGATTTGATCAATGGTTTCGATCGGTTAGGACTAGACAATCACACATTTAAAAGATTTTTATCCACTTCACTTCAACACCCCAAATAAGGCTCACAAAAGTTTATTGTTTGTAATTGGTTTGATTATGTTTGAAACATTTAGACTTAGATCTTTAAAAAAACTGTAAGCTACTTTCAATTGTGAAAATTAACATATCGCAATTTTTTCCAGACTGGTTCAGGTTCCAGGTCGAGTATAACCAACGGTGAAGGAGGAGACCAACCGGAAAAGGGGGATTTTTACACTTAATGGGTTCTTCAACGGGGATTCAGTAGATCGTGGGGACCCAACGGGGATCCTTGATAAGCTCCTCGACAGAGAACGGGACGGTTACAGAGACGGTTTTGGTTAACGGTTTCAAGGACGGGATACCAATAAGTGGCCCGAACCTGGGCCGTTGCCGTTCCTAATTGTAAACAAACAATCATATAGAGCATGATACACAAGTTGCTGCTGATTCTTAAGGTCCATGTTTATAGATTTCATTTATCCTCTACCCTATACTTGTAGCCGCTAAAAAATCAAATAAAAAGACAATCACGCCCACCGACTGCACCTTCAACCATCTCTATAGAAGAATCGAAGGAACCAAAAAAAAAAGGAAAACAAACCTTTTGTGCATACGTATATATATACATACATACAAAGCCTAATTACACGACGCTAGACCACATTCACCATGTAATTTGTGGGTTAATCGCGAATCATAATATGGAATATGATCGAAGGAAGAGGAACGTAGGAGTATATAGTGTCACATATCTACGTCAAAGTGTGGAACGGGAGCCTGTTCCCTTAAATATCTTAGGCGTCTTCTTCGTGAATAGAGCCCAACAAAGTACAAGCTGAATGACAAAACAATAGCAGAGCAGTCGAATAAGTCTATAGGATCAAGGTACCGCCCTGCAACACCACCATCCATACGTTACAAATATATTAACAAACAAACAAAATGTGTGCGAATCATTTCTATTAGGTCATTTTTGAAGATCCTGAAAGAGCTTAAGAGCTTTAACTTGGTGTTACTCTAGGACAAGTTTTATGGAATTCTAATGGGCCGTTTACCAAACACTTACCCGGTAAGTGATTTACCGGTAAAATTTAACACTATTATTTACTTACCAGGTAAGATTTTAGTCCGTCAAAACGACATTATATGCAACAATTCACCCGGTAAGCGCTTATCGTGGTAAGAGTCGTCGCCCTCACTTACCGGGTAAGACTCATGATCCTTGTGTCGCTCTTACCGGGTAAGATTCTTAGTCCTTACCATATTCATCAAATGAGATAACGTGACTTGGTAAGCGCTTACCCGAGTAAGTGTCTGGTAAACGACCCCAGTAATCTTACATTCATCCATAACAATGGGTGGATCTCGAATGCCTCATCTACCTAGACCACTCTTAGGGTAGATGGTTTGTTTCCATTGGTTCATTACAATCTTTTATTTGCTGAAAATATTCATACTTTTGCAGATAACTGTGGTATACGTTCAACCTTGTTAACAAACTTCGAGAAACCATCTAAGAGTAATAATATGCTAAAGAAAACTTCACTTAGAAATAAGATATATGACCTCTCATGTGCATAGTTCCCTGAATAGCATATAAATTCTCAATCCAAGTAGAACTGCATGCACATGTTACATGTACACCTTCAGAAAATTGTTAGCTGTGTTGCTTGCACTTCCTTGATTCATTGCACTGTACCCCCTTCTTTCTGGTATGATTCAGTTCTAATCTACGGAAAGACACTGTTGTGACTCAATATAGCATTTTTTTAAAGTCTGCTCGTCTATTTAATGTCACAACCTAAACGTTTGAATAAGGTGCTCTGTTCATGGCACGAGGCCAGGTCATACCAAACTAGGACACAAGTCCCTCAAATGTGTCCAGGTATCTAAAAGTTCATGTCATATACAGCCTTTTGACATGTGTTCAAGAATTATCGGAAAAAATGATGATAATTTCTTCTGGTTCTGACAAGGGTCCTATATTGGCATCATCCGCAACTTGCATATTGTTTAACGCTTATCCAAACAGCCTATCCGAAACTTGCACCAAACAGCCTATCCAAAACTATTCGACTACATGACTCCCTCTCATGAACATTGCATGATTTGCATCCTCTCTGTTATTGATAATTATTATATTCAAAGGATGTTTGAATGATAGTTTCATATCACATATCAAGGAAGATGTAGTACTTCCTGAACATGAAGATCTAGTTCCATATCGTCTCTTTGCCAATAAAAAACCTGTTTTTGATCTCATACCCAAGTCAAAGAAGTGACAATGTTTTAACTTAAATTACCAAAGCAAGCATGACTGCAAACGAGTCAAGATTTTATCAAGTAATTTCAGCTCGATCAAATCGAGCCTTACTAGGTTTGAATACAAAATTGGGCTCGAAACATATAAGAGTTGAGTTCATGTTTATACGAACTTGAATTCTTATCAATCTTTTTGAACCCTATGTCTGTGTTAATATTTTCGGGTCAAGCTTGAACCGAGCTTGTTTTATTGAGCATAGTTCTTATGATATTTTCAAGCTATAAGAGTTCTTGAATCAAGCTTGTTTTATCAAGCATAATTCTAATGGATATTTTTGAGTTATTCGAGCTCAAATCTCCCTCAAACCTACATCAAGAAGACTCGCCGAGCTATCAAATTGAGCTCAACCTTAGCCTAACGATAACTGATGCCGTCTTTTCAGGAAGATACAAGAAAACAAATTGTGTCGCCAGATCTATGGGAAGAGAGAAGCTCTATGAATCATTTTAATCCTTTTGCCATGAGTTACAATTGAGGAAGTGAGGAAGAACTTACATCTTGGAAGAAAGTCAAAAGGACTAAGTGTATAGAGAGCACCAAGAAACACCTGCAAACAAGAAAAAAACATTCAGCACATTCCTACACATTTCAGCTTAAATACTTGTAATCAAAATACTCCTACCAAGAACAAGATATTTAGCAAAACAAGAAATACAAGTATACTCCACAAGAGAACTCCAAATACTTTTTGATTTGACTATGTTATATTTTTGTCAAATACGATGTTGATTGTTGAATCCAGAGATAAGCACCTTTAGACACTAAATGCACCATACCAGCAAAGAATTGAGCAAGTATTTAACACTCTATATAGTGTATGCTTGAGGTGCATGATTTCTTATTGTAACTCCGTATAGGACACAAAGTTTCAGAAAAATGAAACCGAATCATAAAGAGGATTCTTAATACTACGCAATTCAGATTCGCTTAACTGCAACTAAACGCAATCTGCTAAGGTAAGCAACCGGTCTATCAGGATCCATCATCGCTTGAAGCATTCTCTTGACAAATAAGGGGAGCTGAAGTACTTGCTGTCACAAGAAAAGCACAATCATCAGATTCCTTTAAAAGCTTATCTCTACCATGAATTGAAGTCACATGTACAAAACTACCTCAATATCTAGCTTCAAAGATCAAAAACTATGGTAAAGAGGAAAGAGAAGATATGGGAAGGAGGAAAAGATATGCGAAAACTGTGTCAAATGGATACAAATCAGCCTTACTATATGTGCAGTAAAATCTAACTGCAGTATAAGCTATCTGAGCACTCATGTGCTACAATTAGTGCTATCACAGTACTCACTCGTGTTGTGTTTGGTATGCAATAATGAAAAGCAAAATGATATGGACCATTGCAAAAGCACCAGTGTTTACCATGTGAGAATGGAATGAACCATTTCTCGGGAATCTTATTTTGAGGAATGTGTTCCTTCCATTTTGTTGATTTTCATTCCTTGAGGAAAGGGTATTCTTTTTTCATACCATCATGGAATGGAATGAAAACTTGCAATATAACCCACTTTTTCTCTGTGATCTTAATAACAACTCTAAAAAAATTCAAAACTTTAATTCAATCATGTTTTTATTCTTCAAAAATAACAACAAAATCTATATTTGTATCATAATTTTAATTTTTGAAATTTTCTTGGTCTTAATTTTTTGTAAATAGAATTTTGACAAGTTTATTAAATTATGTACCGACTAAAACCAAACCACATAAACTCGATATATCCCACTAGAAAGTAGGGTCTACGAGGGATAGGATGTACACAGACCTTACCTCAACCACTAGGATCAAGAGGTTATTTCCCTGAAGACTCCAACAGATTATGTACTAAATAGAAGTAAAAATATTCATTTGTGTGTACATATAGCATGAAAAACTAATACAACGACTAAGACGCATCCAAAAGAGAAATAAATATACAAGCATTGATTTATATTTTGTTTTTGAACATCTCATATTTAATGATAATTCGAAAGATAAAACTATGAAAAAGATATTATATTTACAAGTGCATTTAGTTATCATTTCTCATGATTATCAAAAATTAGAGGTTATAAAAACATTAAAAAATTGAATCAATATTTTTTTTATTTGTTAAGTATCTAAATTAATATCAAAATAAACATAAAATACTCTATATACAACTTATACGATATTTTCTAATTTGAATCGTAATTGATTTACACTAAATCATTGTTGTCTCTATTTACCAAATTAATTCAACTCAGGCGCCTATTCATGTATGTCAAACAACAGACTTGGACGATTCCATTGCATCCCCATGATAATGGAATGTAATGGCCCATTACATTACTTTGTCTATTCCATTTCCCTGTCATTCCATTATATCCAATCAAACAGACCCTTGCTACAATTATTTTTTACTGTGATCTTTGGCATCTTTGGCCAAAAAGAGACCATGTGATTCATGCAAAATGCTCCCTCACCGTGAACTGGACAAACTTTAGGGCTCACGGCCATTTGATTTCAATAAATGGAACAGTTCTTGATTAGAAGAAGCAAACACAAGGTACATTGAAATCAGCACCTAAGAACAGGTCAATACAGGGAAAGGTGTCACCCTACCAGAATGAAACCGCAAGCACCTCCAGCAAAAAGGCAATTGTACTGCCTAACATTCTTGAGAACCTCACGTACCCCTGGATCCTGCTGCTGGAATAATGTTGCTTCAGGCGTCAATCTTGTAATAGGACCAGAGCACATAGGGCACTTGCAAGGCCGAAATGCTGCAACATGGTTCCAGTACTCCATGATACAACCGCCTGTACAAGGAAGAATGAGCTTTTTATTGCGCAATAATACACCACGAATTAATAGAAGAAGAGCATCTTGGCAGAGAAACAAAAAATACTTTGCTGATAGCATAAGACAGCCCCACAGAGATTTTACTTCACCATACCTTGACCAGTTTCTCACCCTCTTAACAGAAAATCATATCTTTGGTCAGGGTGTATCACATGGATAAGATATCACTTACAACTTACAGCAAATGGTATAATTATTACATGGGATCCTGTTAACATACCAGCTTCAAAGATACCAAACGGCGTCAAACGGATGTCCCTATTATATGTTCTACTGTAAGATTTTGGATGCAGGGTTATCGTAATTGATGATGGTGTAACCATGCAATCCATTGATCCGTTTACATAATCATTAGCCCCCCCCCTCTCTCTCTAACCATTCACTCTCTACGGATCTTAATACCAATCTGTATGATACCCTCAACAACAGTGAACAACTCACAATCAATCCCATGACTACTATTTCAGCAATTTCACCTCTTGTTGGCCTCTCTTCCTATATGCATGAGCCGATTGATTCAATGAATAGCACAATCCGAGAGTACTTTACTTGGGATGATTGCATTCCCTTACACCTACATCACCACCCAATTCACATAAAAAGGAAAGATATAACACAAAAGTTGAAGACACTCACATTCAAGAAGCAACCACGTACAGCGCAAGCCGCAAGGTCTTCTTCTCCCTCTCAACAGACTTTCTAGTATATGTCTGACGGTGTTATCAGATGGATTATGTTATTGTGCGATGGATTCTACATTAAAACTCCCCAAGAACGAATCAAGTCTAGATATTACAGCGCAAGCCGCAAGGTCTTCTTCTCCCTCTCAACAGACTTTCTAGTATATGTCTGAAGGTGTTATCAGATGGATTATGTTATTGTGCGACGGATTCTACATTAAAACTCCCCAAGAACGAATCAAGTCTAGATATCTTGTACTGTACAGCTTTTTTAATCCCTTCTACCACATGCTTTACCATAAAAGGCCAGGTAGCTAAATTGTCTATTTTGATTCGTAGTGTCAACAAGCATAGTCAATATTTTAACATACCCTCAATGAACTCCCTGAGGTCTAAACTCAAGCATGTATAGCTTCATTTTCCAACAAACTAACCATTCAACAAACAGATACTACCATGAAATTACTTCCCCATTATTGTTTCGTCAATTTTCTTTTTTCACCTGATCAATCAGAACCCTCCCATTGTATGCATAATTTTCTCCGCAAGCACACAAATCAACAAGCTAGGGTTCAATCAATCAACAACAAGAAAACATAAAAGAATTGTCATATACCGCAGTACCAGTGGCCACAAGGGCCTCGGCATGGAGCGGAGAAGGAGCCGAAACAAATAGGGCAGCAGTCGTCTACCGGAGGCCCATCATGGAGGGTCAAACTGTTTCTCTCCCTCTCGGAAACTGACAGGCTGCTTCTTGTTGACGCTGAGTCTGTTCCTGATTCTTCCATTACAGTTGCCATGTCTATATCAAGATCAAAAGCAGATGAAGTGGTGACGAAATTGCGCCTCCTAATGATGATGATGACGACGACGATGAATCATGAATATCTAAAATATACGTATGTGATTCGTGTCAGAAACAGTTAGGGCTCCAATCGCTCTCAATATATCAGTATCCTCTCTGTAAACCGACAAAGGAAAGGATCAGAGTTATCTTTGTGCATACTCGTGACCGTCGAGATAAAAAATGGCGGTTCATGGCCGACACTTCTGCTTTGCATTTTCGTCCCTCAACTTCCCATCTATTTCATCATTTCTAGACAAATATTTCCACCAACATATTTTATATCTATTTTAAAAACATGTAACTAACCGGTCGTTTACCAAACGTTTATCTGGGTAAGTACTTACCAAGTAACATTATCTCACCGGATGAATATGGTAAGAACCAAGAATCTTACCCGATAAGAATAAGACAAGGACCAAAAGTCTTACCCAGTAAGTGAGGGCGACGACTTTTACCACGGTAAATGCTTACCGGGTAAATTGGTGCATATAATGTCGTTTTGGTGGACTAAAATCTTACCCGGTAAGTAAATAATGGTGTTAAATTTTACTCGTAAACACTTACCGGATAAGTGTTTGGTAAATGGCCCCTAAATTTTTAAATTTACCTTTAACCAATATATAAATATTAAAGTGTTGATAAAATATATACAATAATTAAGAGTAAATTTGTCATTTAGTTAACCAAAAATTATAATAAGTATCTATACTATATTATAAATCATTTGATAAAAATTATTAAAAACCGTTTTTTATACATGAAGTACTGTTTATTGCTGTATATTACTTAAAATTCAAGATAATTTGTACGTAAGTGCAACTTATTAAAGTTTCATATTTGAATTCGTGTAACTAACTGTAGATAAACATAATCAAATAGAAGATAAACATCTCATTTTAAAGATAAAAAATCTAAAATATAATTAGGATAATCATTGAGTTCTAACAAAATACCTAATTATTATCTTTATAAAAAATTATATTATTAAACCAAAAAAATTGAATTAAAGAAATACACAAAAAAAAATTAAATAGTCAGTTTGGTACCAATATCAATATTTCTTTTTCAATTTTTTATGATATATCTTCATATTTATATTTTATTCAAAAATAAAAACATTATTGTTTTCTCAAAATTACATAAAACCGTATTATAACATTGATCGAAACAAAAAAAGCGAAACATTGAAATCGAGATATATTTCAATACATTGTGCGAGTATCATTCTAATCATGTATAAAATTATGTGTTATTTTTATTGTATACGCTTGTTCTAAAATACAGAGACCCAGAGAGTACCATTCTACCACATCCCAATTAGAGATGCATCGGGCCGGCTTTTCTAGGATGAACTCAGGCCTTGTGGATCGGACTAGGTTTTTCTAAGCCTAATGGGCAGGGTTGGGCGGGCTTTTTTTTGGCGCAAATTGAAGTTCGACTCTTTTAAGCAGTGATGGTCAAAAATAGGTCACAGGTCAGTCTCAACCGGTCCCAATATTTCTTATAACTGGTTATAACCTGACCCGGTTGAATAGATGAAGACCGGTCAGGTTAGTTTATAACCAGTTATAGGCCGCCGGTCCCGGTCCCACCTTTAAAAAATATTTTTTTATTTTTTTTAATAATATATATTTTTAATATATTATTAAATTTATCTTACGGGTCACTTAAATACACTTTAAAAATACGTTTTATTATGAGAATTGTGAATATTTTTTGCGTTTTTTGCGAATTGAAAACTTGATATGTAAATCTCTCAACCTTGTTACATACATATATATAGTGTTTAGAGGCCAAAAAAAATACAAAAAAAGGATCAAAAACGACTAATTAACGACTATAACTTTAAAAAAAAAAAGTCATTTTTTAATATTTAGGGCCGGGACGGGCCGGGCCATTACCGGTCCCGGTTCCGATCCCACAAATCCAACAAAAACCATAACCGGATGTAACCGTTGATCCCATAACCGGTCCTCACCGGTCCCAGGTCGGGCCGGTCCTTGGCCGGTCTCGGGCTAGGCGGGGCCGGTTTGGCCATCACTACTTTTAAGTAATAATGAAAGTAAGATCTGTGGAGTATGATCTAACAAATTTGACATCTACTTCAAATAATTGCGTGATTATTTTAGTATCTTTGGATAATAAAAAAATGCATAAAATAAAAAAAATTAGACCAAAATAAGATATAAGTAAAGGATTGAAAGATTATGTGTCATCATCAAAAGAAAGTGACTGATTGGAATATTTTCCAATTATTAGAATTTACCATAATAAATGTTTTATTTTCATTGTAAACTAATTCATATTTAAAAAACTTGTGATTAATGAGAATTACTGATTCATTATCTGATTGCTCTTGTTCTATTATGAATTTCCTATAACATGTTATCAACACGTATTCTTCAAAAAAGCTAATTAAGTTTATGATTTATTCATTTTAATTGCATTAATCAATTTAGTGTCATGCAATGGATTATTGTTGATCTATTGTATTTATCTATTTAGGGGTCGTTTACCTAATCACTTACCCAGTAAGTGTTTACCCGTGAATTCAACACTATCACTTACTTATCGTGTAAGATTTTAGTCCACGAAAACAACATTGTATGCAACAATTTATCCGGTAAGCACTAACCGTGGTAAAAGTTGTCACTCTCACTTACCGGGTAAGACTTTCAGTCCTTTTTTTTGTTCTTATAGGGTAAGATTTTTGGTTATTACTATATTCATCTGGTAAGATAACGTAACTTGGTAAGTGCTTACCCGAGTAAACATTCGGTAAACGGTCCCTTAGACTTGTTCTTTTAGTTTTATTTAATATACGGATTTTTATATATAATGGTGATTAAAAATGAATTTATATTGTTGATTAAATAAAAATGTTGGTTTTAGGAAGTAATGACGTGTTTGTAGAAGGGACAGATGAATACAAACACAACAGATTTAACATTTTAATTATTTCTTCTGTATTTTGTATAAAATCAAATAAATTACATATTTGTTGCGTGAGTTAGGAAGGTAAGTGTTGGTCCCAAAAGGGTCTACAAGAATACTAAACAGGTTGTAGAAGGGGGGGGATGAATACAAACACAATTTTCAAATTTAAAATATATATTGATAAAGAAGATCAATACAGATTTTACAAGATTGTTTGCGGAAAGATAAG